AGACGACACGACATACTCGACAACGAAACAAACACCAACACCAACATCCTGGGGAAATCGACTTGCTACAAATAAGAACGGCGATAATAAAACTAGCGAACCAACTCGAAAACGCTAGCACACCAATTGAAATACTTCTACAACTACTGGGCAGTGCTCAGACACTCGCCCAACTCATCAAATATTAAACACAGTAGTAAGTAAACCATGCGGCTGAAGAGGGCTTCGCGGCCCTAGAACGGCCTGAAGGGGAGAGGTTTTAGTCGGTAGGCGTCCTTCGGGATGAATCCGACACTACCCGGTCGCGCGGGCGCCCGGGTGTCTTTTGAAGATTTCCTGTCAGTATGGTTGCAAGATGATCCAACTTTCTTATCCAAAAATTTATGGACGGACGAGTTTACATTTACGAGAGAAGGGATTGTAAAGTTGACAAATTTACACTTTTCGGACTCATCCTCATATTGTAAGGAAATAAAAATTCCAGTATAGATTGAACATTAAATTTGAAAAGATATATGAGAATACTATTTTCGGTGAGACGGTTACTATACGGTCTTGGACAATTTGCTACTAGCATTGTTAAGAGATTGTCAACAAGGTACATGCCCGTATTTAAATAAATTATAGGTTCAAATTTACGAAAGCGATTTGCGTAGTTAATTCGCATTGGATTGTAAAATGTTATTACACTTTTTTATTGTATGGTAAAGGAGCTATTGTTTTTTTATTGATTATAAATACCATATCCTGTATAATATTCTATATATAGCAAAAAGTAGTGTTTTCCAGTTTCATTGCTGACATATGATGGATGGGGCAGGTGCAGACAATACTTATATCCTTGCTGTTGAACTAACCGGTATGTCCGAAGATCGTTGGATTGGGAGTAACGGTCCTTGGAAATGGCCCCTAGATCACCCGATTTAACAATTTAAGGGGCCATGTAAAAATTATCGTGTATGATCACCCAGTTGATACTCCTCTGAGAACTAGAAGCAACGGTAAGAAGAGCATTCAGGGTATTAGACCCAATACAAGTGTGGAAAGCTACAACCTAAGGATAACCGAGTGAACATTTATAGCTTTTTTATATTATATTTATAGTATTTTTAACATTTGTACTTTCCTACCCCATTTCATTACCATTATTTTACTTTTGAGTTTTCTCAATTTAAATAATTATTGTCTCATTTTTTTTTAGTGTTTTGCATATTATTTCTCCAAATCTCCTATCTCTTCATTTATTTGGACCAGTATCGCCCTTTTTAGTTAATTTAAAGAATAACGCTTGGATTAAAAGCGAAAACTCTGTAAAACCCGAAGCCATAGTAAAGTAGAATAGAGAACCTCACGTTAAATTAGGTATTTTAAAGTATGCAATAATGAAAAAATGAGGAGGGCTCTTACGTTGGATATTTGCCTGAGTACTGGTCGCCTACGTAACTGTTACGATTGGCAGTTTTGAAATGGCCTACTTAAAGAAAATCCCTAAGGGCTTCATGGCTAGGGACAGGGAATTAAAACAAAGATATTAATAGGGATTTCCTCCTCCGAACCCTATATTAGGAAGGAAAAATACTAATCAACTTTAATTTAATTAGTTTGCCCCTTCATATCCAAAGAGTAGCAGCGAGGATTCCAATTAAGACGGTCGTGAATCTACAGGTCTACATCTTGCTTTCCATAACGTCGAGGAGCAGACTGAGAATCAGTCATCCTTTACCAGGTCTATACGGATGTAAGAATACACACAAGGCGCTTTCCTTAATTTTAGAGATATTCAAAAAATTCAAGAAAAACGAAACATAATTATCAATGCTTTTTTCACAATTAAAGCTGCTTCCGGTGTCTGGTAAAAAATTCGTTAAATACGTTGCTGTCAATTTTGCATTAAAGCTAACGGTGGACAATTTCAACACCTGATGAAAAGTAAAAATTTATTTTTCACTTTGTGTAGGTAAATAAACAACTAGCCGATCAGATCAGCGACATGTACGTATGCAAACCAAGTTTTATTGTACCACAACAGAAGGATTGGTCAACAAGGTACACGCCCGTATTTAAATAAATTATAGGTTCAAATTTACGAAAGCGATTGGCGTGATTAATTCACATTGAATTGTAAAATGTTATTACACTTTCTTGTTGTATGGTAAGGGAGTCATTGTTCTTTTATTGATTGCTGGAGACCCGCCCCAGCTTCGCACGGGTGCAATGGTGATACTAAATATATATATTTTTTGTTTAGATTATACTCGAGAAGGGGAAATCTTCAAAAGACACCCCCTGAACATACTAAATATACTACAGAATGTCTTTATAAACAACATTCACAGCTTTTTTGTCATTAGATAATACAAACCGATCGCCGGTACCGCCGCAACCGCGATGTCCCTGCATTTTAAATCTGTAATATCTTCGAAAATATTCATTTAAATACAAGGGCCATATCGATCTATATTAAATGCAAATGTATTTAAGGTACTTAATTGGATAAGAATTAATGCTGTATTGCTTAAAATCGCTTCTTAATAAGCAATTATTTCTCATAAAAAGTAAAGGATAAAACTTCTAGTGGTTTTTGTATTCCGAAGAACATGTTAAACTTAGGTATATTTTCTTCCATATATGTTCTTGTTTTTTCTGATCACTCTTCACCCCCCTCCACCACCTTCAACGGAAACACAATATAAATACGACAACATCCCAAGAACCATCATACCGAGCGGCATGGCTTAGAGGTTTAGACCATTGCTTAGCAATCGGGAGGACGCCGGTTCGATTCCGGGTCCGTCTGCCTTGGTCCAAGTTTTTCTGTGGTTTCCTTGGATCACTTAGGCAAATGCTGGGGCAGTAATATTCCACAGTTAATCTTTCATTCTCTTCTGTCTTCATTTCGTCCGTCTCATCTTTCTCACCCGAACCACCACCCACCCATTCCCACGATTCCTGAAAGCAGGCTGAAGCGCCCTACCTTCCGGCATAGTCCGGAGGAACTGCCCGCCCACCAGCATTACTGGCTGGTGGGAATGAAACACCCAAAAGTTTTTAGTTTTTTTAAGAACCATCATTGTCACTTGATAATGGCTAACGCCGAAACCGGTCGTGACAGATCAGAAAAAACAAGAACATATATGGAAGAAAATATATCTAAAGGATAAAAAGTGGGTTATTGTGGCTTATCCCTAAGAGATAGACATATAACATCACGGACTTTTTAGTAGACCTTTTTAAGATGTACAATACTGTAGTACATTATTTTGATCTATCTCGCAGGGTTCAGCCAGCGTTTGCAATGTAAGCTCAAAAAATTTGTTTATTTACGACATCACATTAGAAACCTCTAAAATGATCAGTGTTTCTCTACTATATTATGCATGTATTATACATATAAACCTTTCTCTCGAACCACTCTATCTACTAAAAAAAACCGCATCAATATCCGTTAAAGATCTAAGCATATAAGCAGCTACCATACCCTGTATAATATTCCATATTAGCAAAAAATAGTGTTTTCCAGTTTCACATGAATACTCGCACATTATGTATATAAACATGTTGTAGCTGGTAGGAAAGTACGTGCAAAAGTTCTTCCATGAACACCATATACATAGAACTCCGACGATCGGTATGTTTACCTACCTCGTTCCCTTATTAACCCGTTCGCCAACTTTCACCGATAGCAACAACAACCCCTGCATTAGGCATATTTCAATTTTTTCTCTTCTGTTTTTATTTAATACCTTCCTGCTTTTTGCCTGATCTATCTAATTTTCTTATTTTTCTATTTCTATATTATAGATTCTTTCTATCATTCATTTTCTATTTTTTTTTCTTTACTACTAGTTATGAAACCGACATTTTTTTGAAACCTAGGTTTCCGAGTATATCTTTCTTTTCCCACAATCATCTTTCTCATTTTCTTATCCTAAGTACCCGTTCTCCTGTATTCGTTTATTCTTTAACCAATTTCACTCCACTTCATCGCCCCACCTTCAACCCCTTTATTTTGCACCCCTTTTCGCTACCTCAAATCGGTATAAATACCGGTCTCAACGCAACATACCGAGCGGCATGGCCTAGAGGTCTAGACCATTGCTTAGCATTCAGGAGGAGGTCGGTTCGATTCCGGGTCCGTCTGCCATGGTCCAAGTTTTTCTGTGGTTTCCTTGGATCACTTAGGCAAAATACTGAGGCAGTAATATTCCACAGATAATCTTTCGCTATCTTCTGTCTTCATTTCGTCCGTCTCATCTTTCTCACCCGAACCACCACCCACCCATTCCCACTATTCCTGAAAGCAGGCTGAAGAGGGCCTTCCGGCGTAGTCCGGAGGGACTGCCCGCCCACCGGCATTTACCGGCTGGTGGGAATGAAACACCTAAAAATTTAAATTCTTTCAACGAAACATACCGAGCGGCATGGCCTAGAGGTTTAGATCGTTGCTTAGCATTCGGGAGGACGCCGGTTCGATTCCGGGTCCGTGCGTCTGCCTTGGTCCAAGTTTTTCTGTGGCTTCCTTGTATCACTTAGGCAAATGCCTGGGGCAGTAATTTTCCACAGATAATCTTTCATTCTCTTCTGTCTTCATTTCGTTCGTCTCAACTTTCTCACCCGAACCACCACCCACCCATTTCCACGATTCCTGAAAGCAGGCTGAAAAGGGCCTTCCCGCGTAGTCCGGAGGGACTGCCCGCCCACCAGCATTACTGGCTGGTGGGAATGAAACACCCAAAATAATTTGGCCAGCTCGGACATTTCAAATCGCTCTTTCAATTGTTTTAATTAATTTTCTGTTGTTGCTATATTATGTTCGTAATTAGTAATCACATAAATTCTGTGTTAACTCATTCTTAACAGTATATTGTTTTTTTTGTTGTTTTTAATATTTTGTATATTTATTGTGTGTGTATTTCTATGTTGTAAATAAGTAGTGTTAAAACGAAAGGACATATCAAATATAGCTTTTCATAATGAGTAAATATCTGGAAGTTACTGACCTTCTTGACGTGTTCAGAATTGAGTACGACATGAATGGTTTCTCGAGCATGAATAATTGGAGGATTGTCATCTTCATCGAGCACTTTAACAACCAGATTTTGCGTATCATCGAATACTATCCCTTTCGGAGTTTCCAGATAGCATTTCACTGAAACCGACCTTAATTCACCAGTTTCACTCGATTTCGTAGCAAAAGGGGTACGAATAACATCCCGTTCAAGGGGCTTGGTCGAATGCAGCGTCCACAATTTATTGTCAGTTGAAGGCGGTTCGAGCTTGAATTGGTTGCTTCCTGAAATGGAGAACCATCATTAGATAAGCATTTATTTATAAGCGTTCGAAACTACTTGTTGGAAACATTATTTCAAGACTGCAACAAATGGGTATAATACACCATATTTACAAATATCTAAAGACGTACGATGTATATTCTAAGGCAACTATATAAAGTAGGTACAATCAATCAGTCGCGAGCTGAACCGGTTTCCCGCATTAAAATTCATTTTTGAGGAACAATTAACATTTTATGTTCCATCGTTTAACTCTAACATTTCCTAAGGGCTTTCCATGATTGTTGTTTGGTATTTATACACTATGTCTACAAAAAGTATCCCAATTAATGAGTCGTCAATGATTGAGAACACTTATCAGGTCGACGGTCTTATCGCCCTTCGTTATTGGAAGCGTCAAATGACGAAACACATATACCTACTCGTCACCTTCGCAGCAACTGGTACACCGACAGACAATTTAACGAAATGACCTACGTAGTAGTCTGCACTCCATAGTTGCGTTCGATTTACAAGTAGGCCAGCACAGACGAAAGGTCGGTATTGACGAAATCGTTTTATGATTCATAATGACAATCCAAGACAGGGATTTCGCGTGATACGAAGGAAGTTTTAGACAGATCTCTTTGTATTCGTACCATTTACAAAATACGACATATATATGACCGTGTTTGATACGACGCCTACCAGGATGTATGTACCACAGTATAAAGATTCTTACAGTAGGCTCACTCCTTTGATCTGCCCAAAATACCGACACTTTTTGCAGGTTGCAAATTAACTTTATATGAGCTAAACTGCCTTATACGAGGACGGTTCAGTAGCTTTACCGAGGTGTTTTGATACAAAATGTATTTGTACTGTGACTTCACGATGAGACTCTGTAGAAACCAATCCTTGCTTATAAGAGAAATCGTTGATGAAGTGGTGAAACGTCGTCAGGAGAGGGATGTATGAGCTTTGCTGGAGAATGAGCCTGCTATATATATAAATGGTGTTGCAGTCTTTCATTTGCACATCATGCTTGATTATCCAACGTTTATCCTATTCTGGTCTAGTTATACCTCCCTGCTTTTGCAAATTGTATCGTAACCGTCGCTGTATGAAATAGTCGGCACAGAATTCTTTCCTTGCTCGTGTTAGCGTACGAAACTCCACCACAGCATGCAGCGACACCATGTTGTACAATTACGCTAAGTCATCCAGTTTATCATTGACGCAGCAGGTGGAATTTTCGCCAAGGTCATATTACGTTGATATTTGTGTACATCACTGTATCTTTCCTTTTCATGTACTTTCTTCTCCCCAAATTTTAACGGAGTACTGATCAGACAATGTATATTGTTACAAGCAATATATCGTCAAGCATTATTTGCTTCTAATAGTAGCTTAATGTACCAACTTTATTTTACGGAACAACTTCAGGTTGTTCGATCATTAACTGGCGTGCTGATGATAAGTAATAAGTTTCATATCGCGATCCACACCAGTAGCTTCGATACATTACTGACCGAGAATATTCTTTATTATCATCATTTGGCTTGCGTATATATATAGGTATTTCGATTGATAAACAGTTCGTAGAAATGAGAAAATGAAGATGATTTTTCGTTTCTATCTAAGTGGTAATCATAAACAACGGATCCAAGTAGTGAAAATATTTTGCGAAAGACGATATGTCGGATCGTCAAAGAATAAGAGACAGGTTGGTAGAGGCAAATGATATAAATAATTATAAAATTAATTA